CACACCTGGAATTTTGGGGAACACCCAAACCTGATGGGTGCACACCTGGAATTTTGGGGAACACCCAAACCTGATGGGTGCACACCTGGAATTTTTGGGTAGGAACACAAAACGTGATGAGTGCACACCTGGAACTTTTGGGGTCATGGGGGTTTCTCTCAGCAGCACCCCAAGGAAATGGCTGTTCTGGTGGTGGGACAGGCACCCCTGTGACCCTAAAAGCACAAAGGGGTTTTTTGGTATTGGTTCCTCTGTCTGAAGCTCTCGTGTTCCTCCAGAAGGGCCATGCCACATCTGCTCCCAGGGGATTTACAGCCCAGCCTTAGGAGAGAAATGGTAAAAGATGGAATAATAATATATTCAATTATTGTGAGTCGATGCTCCCTCCAAGCAAACGGTGACGGGACAAGGTGACAGCTCTTGTCTCTGCCCGCACCAACCAAGAAAACTGAAATGTGAGGCCAAAAAACAGGGCAAAATTCATCCCAAAAAATGTGATTTGAGGGTTGGATCCTGTTCGGAAGGGATGTGTTGCTTCCTGGTGTCCCGGGAGTGGCAGAAGTGTCCCAGTTTTGGCAGCAGAGGGGAATGGACGCGGTTTGGGCTCCCACTTCCCTGGGCTGGAGAGGTCACCGAGGACGCAGAGTCAGCAGCGCAGGGTTGACTTCAGCAAATTGTCATCAGAGACTCAGCCACGTCCTTCCAGGAGAACCCCGAAGCAGCTCAGCTGGAGCTGGCCGCGTTTCGGGGCTGAGAACCCCGCGCTGTCCCCGTGTCCCACCAAGGACCGTCACCGCGGCAGAAATCAATGGCGAATTACGGCCATGATTATAAAACTCCACAATCCCTCCAAGCTGCGGGGTTCTCTGGGGCACGGACAGAGGAGTTTTTGTGGGATGGGATAGCCCAGGCGGGATTTGGGCTGGGATAGCCCAGGCGGGATTTGGGCTCCGCACGGGATGGGCACGGGGTGCGCTGGCCCTTTAAATCCCGCACAGGTGCGGCGGCGCGGGGGGGCGGGACCGGCGGCAATGAGTGACGGGGGGGTTATCCAATGGGAAGGCAGAGGGAGGAGCGGGCGGCCAATGAGCGGGGGCAGAGTGGGTGGGCGGGGCTGGGTGGCGCTCGCAGCGGGGACCGGTCCGGTTCGGCCCCGCTCGGCCCCGCTCGGCCATGGAGAGGCGAGCGCCGGTCCCCGCCGGGCCCCTCGGGGACGATTTCTCCTTCGTCAGCCCGGTGGCCAAGTACCTGCTCTTCTT